GACCTTCAGACAAAGCTGCTGTTCAACCTTTCACCGCTCGGTGGCGCTGATGAGGAGCGGTGCCCTGGTGGCAAGGGGGGACCTACTAGCTCCTGCCTACTGGGGAGTCCTCTGAACCCCACCTCCACCAGCAGCTCAAATACACCCTTGATTACGTCATAATTTCTCATCACCCCAAGAAATAGAAACATTGCTCTCACAAAATTTATAACCTGTGGAGAGCAAGCAGACTTGGCTGGAAGCTGGTCCGGGACAGCTCCATCCATGCACAGACGCAGGCAGTGCTGGTGGCACCTGCACCCAGCGCCTGCAACTTGTCCTCAGGGCCCCAAAGTCCTAATTACAGCCCCTCCGTTCAGCACTTCCTGTCCACCTGTCTATCTCCCCACTCTCAAGACTCCTCCAAACAAGCTTGCCTCTGCCTCCTCAGCCTGAGAAGAGCTGCCTTCCTGTCGCCCAGAGGGTGCCGCTCACCACCCTGCCCTCTGAATGCCCCATCCTCTCCCTCCACCCTATTCATAGCTGCGAGGGGTGGGCAGCTCACAAGCTGTGCCGAGAAGCAGGTGCGGGGGATCGGGTGGCTGACAGATGAGCCAGGACAGCCACAGGCAGCCCGGGGGGCAGGGGCCAGAGGGGCTCAGATTCATTGTCAAGTGCTGGTATGTGCCCGGGAGAAATGTCAGGGTGCGCAAGGGAACGGAGGCTGGGGCGGAGGGTGATTCGGGGTGTGCGCCCCGGGGCCTCAGGTCAGCGCTGCCCAGCATTTTCAGTTTGCAGACGGGTGTCAAAAACTGAGTCCCTTCCACACCCCAACGCACCCCAATGACAGAGGTGGCCACATTCTGGGGGGTGAGAGAGGGGCTTCAGCTTCTCAGCCCTGCTCCAGGCCCTGCAGACTGCATCTAAGGAGCACAGCTTCACCGCTCCATCGCTCTTGCTCCCAGGGGCTACTGCCAGCTGGACAGGCTCTGTCCTGACAGTCCACGCACCTATAAGTGACAGTTCCAATTCCATCAAGAAGAGACACTTTCGGGTGCGGCATGGGGGGGTTCAAAGTTCTTCCTCCATTCCCCCAAACTGGCTGTGTTCTGATCCACTCTGCAGCGTGCAAGCCAGGCCTGGGAGCTGGGCCCGAGACAAGCACCAGGCAGGAAAAGAAATGATGGCTCTCAGGACGCAACATTGTTCCCTTGCCTGCACAGTTTCCTTCTCAATTGTGTGTGGCCAGTCTCACATCAGCGGAGG